CCTAGCCTCACTTCTCGCTTGTCTGAGGCAGCAGTAGCTACTCCTGTCATTATTAGCATGCTTTTTTTTACTGATCTGTTTTTCAGTGCTAAAACAAAGCATCTGAAGCAGGTAAACCTCAAAAAGAAAAGAAGCAGATTTGACTCCCAATTCTAGAGGTTCAAAGAGATGTCATTGACAGCAGCCCAACACTGATGACAATTACAAAAGTGTTTGTGGGCACGACAGATTGTCACTAAACAGGAAGCCACAGAGTAATTTGGGACCAGGCTCAGGCTCTTGTGTTCATTTGCTCTTAGAAGAACCAGGAGGTCAATAGTCCCATGCAAAGGCATCATCTTTCTTGAATATCACCAGCCTTGTTAGCAGATTAATGGAGGCAAATCATCTCCGTACACTGCAAAACAAATACTTGTAAAATTTGATGTTTATTCTTTTCTTTAAAATATTTATTTATTTATTTATTATGTATACAATATTCTGTCTGTGTGTATGTCTGCAGGCCAGAAAAGGGCACCAGACTCATTACAGATGGCTGTGAGCCACCATGTGGTTGCTGGGAATTGAACTCAGTACCTCTGGAAGAGCAAGCAATGCCCTTAACCACTGAGCCATCTTTCCAGCCCCTTGATGTTTATTCTTAATTAAAGTTTTTAGTGAAGTAGAAAAGAGAACAATTAGAGGAAACTTTATTTGAAGTTTTTTTCTTTTTAATTGAGGACTTCATTCAGACGTTTCCTCTGCTGGCTTCTGCTCTGGAAGCAGCTAGGTCCCCACATCAATGTCACAACTGACTGGACCGAGTGAACATGGGCCCCAAACCAGGACTTTCAGAACCGCAAAACAATAAAGCAAAACCCAAGCCTCTCTTTTCACTCAGGAAGGACTGGGAGTCACTGGGTCCAATCCCACCCTGCAACTGTAGACACCTTGGAGTCTGGACTACACAGAAACTTGGAAGTTAGGAACAAGGTAGCAGTCCTGTGTAATCCAACTCAAGCATCTGACCACCAGCCTCTTCCAATAGGAATGAACCTACCCTTGAAGGAGTTTTGGCATCTACTTAATTTCCCAAAGAAGTGTAAAATCTACCAAAAGAAATACAAGGGTCAGAAGAAATCAGCTTTTTCACGATCAACTTTCCTGAGTCACAACTTTTGGTTGCTGAGAAGCCACAGCACAGTATTTCAAAATGACAAAATCCAGGGCAATCACAGAGAACATCCAGCTGAAGACTCTTGCCCAAGTTGTCAGGGTCAAAGAACAAACTTAGGTAGCATTGAAGCCAGATACGGGTAAGTGTCTATTCTACTTAACAAGTGAGTTAAATAAGTTGTATTACCTCTCTGAGACCATTTCCTTACTTATAAAACATCCTAAGGGCAAAGCTGTACCCAGGACATTTAAGTATGTTTTTAAAAACCAGACATGTATTGATTGACATTTAGATGTCCTGGGTACGGGTACAGCACAGCCCTCGTTCCGGTCGGCACAGCCAACCCTAGAGACACTGGGGTCTAAAGGGTCTGTTGTGTCTTCTTCTTTCCTTTTTTTTTTTCCTTAAAAGTATTTGTTTATATTTTATGTGCAGGGGTATTAACTGTCTTATTTCTGAACTTTGCATATCCACAGAGCCCTCAGAAGGTATAGCAACCCCTGGGACTGGAGTTAACAATTGTGAGCCAACATATAGGTGCTGGGAGTTGAACCCTAGTTCTCTGCAAGAGCAGCCAGTGTTTTCAGCTACTAAGCCGCCCCTCCAGCCCCTCTTTTCTTCCCTTTTGCTCAAATCAGGTTGCTCTCAATCTCTGTAAGATTTTATCTGTGTCCCAAACTGCCAGTGATTAGAGGGCAATTAAGTCAAACCAGGGAATAATAATGACTTCCTCTTTGCTGGCTAGGAATAGTGTCCCGATGTCATTTTTCTGGCTTAACTTATCTCTTACTGCCTTGTCCTTTCCCTGTGGCCTGAAATCACATCTGTATATACATACAAACACTCCACTAAAATTTTCTTCCTGGAATGTAGTGTGTGTGTGTGTGTGTGTGTGTGTGTGTGTGTGTTTGTGCGCACGTGCGTGTGCATGTGCATGTGTGCATGTGAGCAATAAAGTGGAAGCAGGTGACGATGGGAACACACCATGCAGGGCGAGGCTGTCAGGCTTGAGCAAGGGCCTTTCCCTACTCTTTAAGTCATCGTACCAGCTGCAACCCATCTGTTCCCTCAACTCCACATCACCTCCATTTTTTTTTTTCAAGTAACTGTGGGCCACACATACACTAAACATTACCTGACTGGAGATTTCAAAGCCTGATGTCTTCTATAGATATAAACTTTCTGTTCGTTCTGTTAGGTGGTATCTCAACGGTTTAGGTCAATAGAGGGACTTTTCTGAAGAAGGTCCAAGGAAACCAGGATTGGATGCCATTAGGAAACATGCACCGCAAAGAAGCAGGAGCCAGAATTAAAGAGAAATTTACTCTGAAGGGCCACTCGGAAGCGTACCTGCTCCTTTTTCTCTCTTCTCTCTCTTTCTAACAGCCAAGAACAAGTCGCTCACAAATCACGAGCAGGCGGGGTAAAACTAGCCGCTGGGCTTGCATGTCAATAGACCCCAGAGCAGTAAACTTCGCTAAAACAGAAACAGGAGCTGGCTCCCATGCATCCACCTCAACCCGTGACTCATGTGGTCGGCTCTTCCTCAGCTTGTGGAAATGAGACAATCGGAGTGCTAAAGGGCCAGATTGCGGGAAACGAACGTGCATCCCCGAAATCCCCTGGATGCCTTCAGAATCTTAAAGTCCTGCAGGAAGGACTCCCAGCCAGTATTCCCTCTGACCCCCTCCAATGTTCAATCGGCGGCCCTTGAGAATATTGAAAAGAGAACAAACTGTTTCAGAAGCAGCTGTGGTCATGGGACCGGACCTGCCTCTAGGCAGCCACCACTCCTCAACTGCCGCAGACTCTGGCTCCATCTCCGCGCTCCCTGTCTCCCTTGACCATTCTTCTCAACTGAGCACAGGCCAGGGAATAATTCTGCGCTCCTTTGAGACTGACCTTTTACTTTGTGGAGGGGGGAAAATATGTACCATCTTTCCGGATTATAGAAACTGAATCAAATCAAGTTGATATTGGAGCAGTAGCAGAGAAGTTGGCTAGTTCAAGTAGCTGCCAAAGAGGCTGGAAAAGGACTGCTGCCGACAGCGTTCTGGTGGAAGTCAGCCACCCTTGGACCCTGCGGACCTGGGAAATCCCAGGTTAGCCCTGGGTTCACTGAATCCGCCTGTCACATCCTTTCCTATCTAATCTTTGGCTGACTTCATCCATATAAATGTACCTTTCATCAGTCTGACTTCACACACAAACCCTCCACAGAGAAGTCACAGACTTGGTGAACGCCCTTAGTGTTTCCATTTTTTTTCTCTTTACTTTGCGGTGGTGGTGTTGTTGTTGTTGTTGCTGTTGTTGTTGTTTTGCAGACAGGGTCCAGCCTGGACTGGACTCAAATTCATGATCCCGCTTGGTGGGATTACAGCCATATGCCACCACACCTGCTGTGCTTGCGTTTCTGAAATCGCATGTTCTACTCTGACCCCAATCCCTATCCTTCCGGCTCAGTCACTCTATTATTACCTCTACTCCACCTACCCTGTAGCCCATGGAATCACTCAGTTTGCTGAGAAGTAGCATTTTCTTTCACAGATTCTATCTTAACCGGTCTTGGTCTGTCTCAGAAGAGAGAAAGGAAGCAGCGAAGGCGGCCTTCTACTTGGTCAGTTGTTAGGGTTGGGGCTGACCCTGAAGCTCAGTAGGGAGGGGGAGGAAGGGAGAAGGGTTAGCTGGGTTTGGAGCCTCCAGAGAAGCTGGCCAGAACAATTGAGAACAAAGGCTGGACACTCTTCCGCTGAGGCCCAGAGTCTGGCCTTGGCCTTCCGTGAACAGCTCTAGGAAATGGCTGAGATTCCCGATTTGGAAGGAAGAGACTGGTAAACAGGAGCCGGGCTGAGAAGTGAACAGCCTCTCTGGGTTTTCGGGAGGGGCCAAGCTAGTCATCTGGGTGCCACAAAACTTGTGTCGGGTCAGGCAAGATGCTGAGAAGGCTTCATTCCAACCATCCTTTGCGAGGCCTGAAACTCAGCCCCGCTGATGATGCTTCAGACAGCATCAGTGATGGGGTGTGCATAAAAATCAGCCTAAAGGATTGTCACTCTCGTGTCAATCCTATCTGTGTTATGCAGTTTTATGTCTAATTTCATTCCATTTATACTCTAGATCTCAAGGTGGGATCTATTATTAATATTCCCAATATACAGAGAAGGGAACTGACTTTGAGGATGAAGGAATCTACCCAAGACCCTACAGAACCAATTTTCAAATATTTTGAAAAAAATATCGTCATGGTCCATGGGGTTTTCACACCTTGTTTCCAAGGTTCTGGGCCATTTCTGTGTTCTAGTCTCCTGAGGCTCAGTCTATTTGTTCCCTGGAAATGGATCAAAAATGCATACTGCCCCCCTTCCTCATTCTTTTCTTGGCTTGCAACCCCTTTGGACTCTGTCTTCAGCTCCTCACTCCTCTATATGAGACTCCACCTCTGATTCCCCTCTCCCTATCAGGTGGTTGTCTAATGGAAAAGGATAGAGACCAAGACTTAAGTATAAACTTCAAATAGAGCTATGGGGCTGGAGGAGTAAGGGGGCTGGAGATCAGAGGTAAAGAGCACTGACTGCTCTTCCAGAGGTCCTGAGTTCAATTCCCCGCAACCACATGGTGGCTCACAACCATCTGTAATAAGATCTGGTGTCCTCTTCTGTACTGCAGGAAACATGCAGCAAGAACCCTGTATACATAATAAATAAAAATCTTTACAAAAAAAAAAGAAAGAAAGAAAAAAGAAACCCTAAATCAGACATGAGTAACGCTTAGTGCCCACGTTAGTGTCCAGGGTTACAGCAAAAGTGTAGAGGTCGGGAGAGTTTCTCACCTCTGGTCCCCTCCCAGTTCTCTAAGGCATGGAGGGCCAGGCAGGAAGCATCCGTTTCCTCAAAGCGGCTTCCCTACTGGGACAGAGTCTCAGTCACAAACAACTACCGTCACCCACCCCTCCCTCCCCTCCTTCCCTTACTGCTGTGAGCTCGGAGCAGTGGGACAAAGTGCATGGGACAAGGCAAGCAGCTGAGGGAAGCCATGGGCTCTGGAGGAGTGGGGCTCCTGGGGACTAGGGGGCCTCTGCCTCTGCTGCTTCTTCTCGTCGTGGGTGAGTGGGGCGCTCCCTCTTCTAGTCCATGCTCCTGGGCTCCTGGCCGGATTCACGGCCTGGATCCAAAGCCAGCAGAACAGAAGAGAATCTCTTGTCCTTAGCACTGGGAGTAATGACGGTGGTGGGGTGTGGGCATGGGCATGGCTGTGTGTCACCGAGACAGCTGTGTAGACCCTGGCTTGAGGACGCTGACCCTCTCCCCTCCCGCTAGCTATTTGGAAATAGATGTCTGGTAATATAAGCCAATCGGGCAGACTCCTACACAAGGCGCAGAAGGGTGCAGTTCAGGGAGTCTCTCCCTTCTAGGAGGCAAGGCTCTGGATTCTTCACCCCAGATCCTAGTTCACCCCCAAGACCAGCTACTTCAGGGCTCCGGCCCAGCCAGGATGAGTTGCAGAGCCTCGGGCCAACCGCCTCCCACTATCCGCTGGCTGCTGAATGGGCAGCCCCTCAGCATGGCGACCCCAGACCTACATTACCTTCTACCTGATGGGACTCTCCTGCTACATTGGCCTGCTGTCCAGGGACGGCCCCAAGATGACCAGAATAGCCTCTCAGCACTCCTGGGTGTCTACACATGTGAGGCCAGCAACCGGCTGGGCACAGCAGTGAGCCGGGGTGCTAGGCTGTCTGTGACTGGTGAGGCTTGGGAGGATAGGCCCAGGGCAAAGCAAAGCTAGGTTGAGCTGCTTGTTTGTGTCCAGGGAAATATGAGGGGTTATCTGTAAAGGGAGGCCTGGCCTGGCGGGGGTCGGGGGGGGGGTCCTTGGGAGGGAGAACTAGGTTAAGTTGGACATAGAAGGCCAAGGAAATGGGTATAGCAGAATGGGGTAAGCAAGCTAGGAGATGCCAAAGAGGGACTCAGGGGAGGGTAGACATGTTTCCTATTGACCTGATTCCCTCCTCACAGTCCTCCAGAAGGACTTCCAGATCCAGCCTCGGGACACAGTGGCTGTGGTGGGTGAGCGGTTGGTTCTTGAGTGTCGGCCACCCTGGGGCTACCCAAATCCTTCTGTCTCATGGTGGAAAGACGGGAGACCCCTGGTCCTACAGACAGGCAGGCACACAGTAAGTGAAGCCCCGTTCCCAGGAACTCCTTTTCCCGTACTTCATCATGTCCTGGGCACACCAAGCAACTGACCTGCTCTCCAGGGGCACGTTCCCTGGCTGATCTGAGGAAGGGAGGGCAATGAGACCTCAGGTTGTTCTCTAGCCTCTAACCTTTGACTCATATGGAAGCCTTCACAGACTATTTGTGCTGACAGGTGTCTGGGGGTCTCCTGACGGTGGCAAGAGCAGAGAAGAATGACACGGGGACCTATATGTGTATGGCCACCAACAATGCAGGACAACGGGAGAGCCGAGCAGCCAGGGTGTCTGTCTGGGGTAAGAACAGGAGTCAGCTGAGAGCCAACATAAGGGCTCAGGAGGTAATTCAGTGGGTCGAGAGCTTGCTTCACATATGTGAAGGCTTGAACTCAGATCTCCAGTACCCACATAAAAGCTGAGCCTGGAAGGGTGTGTCTACAATCCAGGTACTGAGATGATGTGGAAACGGGTGGGTTCCAGAAGCCAGCCAGCCAGTCTCGTGTGGTGAAATCCAGGCTCACTGAGAGATCCTGTCTCAAAGAAAAAAACAATGAGGAGAGCAATAATAAAGATTCTATTGTCATCTTTTGGTTTCTATATGCGTACTCATTCATGGGCAAAAATGAGCTTATACTTAAACCCACACACAACATCCTAGGTAAGGTAGGGGATTCTAATTTGTGAGGTGGTCAGTTATGGGGTTTGGGTATATGGGGCTCAACCTAGGATTGGGATCCAAGGGATGAGGCCTCCCTGTGTGAGGCTAGAACGGATATAGGAGTATTCTAGACCTGATCTGGGAGACAAATTTGTCCATGATGGAGGTATGTTCCTCCATCTCACCCTCGTGTTCCCCTACAGAGTCAGAGAACCACAAGGAATATTTGGAACTTCTGGCTGTTCGCATCCAACTGGAAAACGTGACCCTGCTGAACCCGGAACCCGTGAAAGGCCCCAAGCCTGGACCAACTGTGTGGCTCAGCTGGAAGGTGAGGCCGAGGACCCAGGAAGTGAGAACTCATCCAGATGAGGGCTCTCATGAACTCCCCCAAACACTTATCCCTACTCCAACCTCTTCCCAGGTGAGCGGCCCTGCCGCGCCTGCCGAGTCCTACACAGCCTTGTTCAGGGCCCAGAGGACCCCCAGGGACCAGGGATCTCCATGGACAGAGGAGATGCTGGGTGGCTTGCAGAGCGCAAAGCTTGGGGGCCTCCGCTGGGGCCAGGACTACGAGTTCAAAGTGAGACCGTCCTCTGGCCGGGCTCGAGGCCCAGACAGCAATGTGTTGCTCCTGAGGGTGCCAGAACAAGGTCAGGGGAGGAGCCTGATTGACGCTGGGTGGAGTTCGTGGTGGTTTCTTATCTATCCCAGTCCCATCTGGACATGCTGGGGTGGGTGTCGAGGGGACTCCTCCTCTGCATGGTGAAGCAAACAGCTCTAAGAAGTGTCATTTCTCGTAGAACTCTGATTCTCCATCCCCCTCCCCAGTGCCGCTACACGCTACACGTTGACCCTCACACGGTGTCCTCTCCTTTAGCAGTTCTGTCTCTTCCTTTTCTGCAGTGCCCAGTGCCCCACCTCAAGAAGTGACCCTAAAGCCTGGCAATAGCAGCATCCTTGTGAGCTGGGCTCCACCGCCTCCCGAAAACCACAATGGTGTCATCCGTGGCTACCAGGTAGTCTCTACAAAATGACACTGGCCAGCATACTCCACTCCCCTGGAGTCCCACATATCTTTGCTTTGGCCACTACAAAACAGCATCTGAGCCAAAAAAGGAAGGGATTTTGCTTTTTATGGAGCACATGTACAAGGGCCTACTTAGTTTGCCAGATCTTGTCAAGCATTTTATAAGCGGTTGTCTCATTTCTTCTCACCAACAGCCTAGGTGATTACCTCTAATTTATACATGGAAAGTCAGATTATGGTCATAGATGGAAGAAACAGAACAGAAATCAAACGTTGGGCTGATTTGATCAAATCAAAACTCAAACTGGGTCAGACCTAAGTCTTTAAGCAGGCATGTGGGTGCTGGACAGGCAAGAGGCAAATCACCAGGGAACTTGTTAGGAAGGTGGATTCTCAGGTCCTTTCCCAGGTTCCCTGAATCAGAAAGTGAAAACTGAGCTTGATACCTCTTTTTCAGCAAGCCTCGAGGTCACTCGAAACACCATGAACCTGGGTACATTTTGGCAGATTATCTTTGCCATTCTGTCATCTAAAAAAGAGTCTCTCACTTGGTAGAGGAGGGGCACAGGTGTTGTTTTGTTGGTCAGCCCCCAGGAAGATGTCAGGCTTAGGAGGACCGCCCGGCCATCTGCAGATGAAGGGCTTGCTGCTAGGATGGTTCTAGGGCCAGTGGCTCACCTTCGTTTGTGCCCCAGGTGTGGAACCTGGGCAATACCTCTCTGCCTGCTGCCAACTGGACTGTTGTGGGTGAACAGACCCAGCTGGAGATCTCCACACGGGTGCCAGGCTCCTACTGTGTACAAGTGGCTGCAGTCACTGGTGCCGGGGCCGGCGAGCCCAGTAGCCCTGTCTGCCTCTTTTTAGGTGAGAGACCGGTCCTATCCATATCCTTCAGCCCCCATGTCATCCTCCTGTCTCCGCGCCTGTTACACCTCCAGCTCCTCTCTCTTGTCTCTGGGTCCCCCATTGTCCCGCTGGCCCTCTCTCTGAGCTCCACTTCCCATACAGAGCAGGCCATGGAGCAGTCGGCTCGAGACCCCGGTAAACATGCTTTCTGGACCCTGGATCAGCTGAGGGCCACCTTGAGACGGCCAGAAGTCATCGCCAGCGGTGCTGTCCTGCTCTGGCTGCTGCTACTAGGCCTTGCTGTGTGTATCTACAGACGCCGCAAAGCTCGGGTGAACCTGGGCCCAGGTGAGAGGGGAGAACCCGTGTGTATAGATCTCCCTGCGTCCAGACAGAAGAGCACAGGAGCTTTGATCTCTAGAAAGACTCTGGGCTCTTCGTTTATCTGTCCCTCCCGTTTTTTTTCCAGGTCTGTACAGATATACCAGTGAGGATGCCATTTTAAAACACAGGTGAGAGGCCAGGAAGGAGTCCTGAGGAAGGGAGGAGAGGTCAGGGTGAGTGGAGTCTCAGCAGAGAATTGGATGGTGTTTCAGTCTACCCTCCTACCAGGCAGCTTAGGATCCTCATACCTGAAGCCCCCCCTCCCCCCGGACTCTGTGTGACAATGAATCTCTTTCACTGTAGCCCCTTGGCAACCGAGCAACCTGAATCATAAAACCTAACTGTTTTTGCCAAAGGCTTCACAGTTGACCTCCTGGCCACCTAGCTGTTGCTCTTGTCGCCTATTCTCGCTACTCCTGCTGTTAAGTGAGTAGTAACTGGCAGGAGATGGCCAGCTCTAGTGTCCTGATTCCCTTGTGTTCCCAATGTCTACCTGACAGTGGTTTTGCATCCTGTATATTGCCTGTCTCTTGAGACATCCACTTGTCTTGCACAGGCTGCACACTTCCAGCAGGGGGCGATCAGCACCTAGGTCATAGATTCTTACCCATTGTTCCAAACCAGGGCCAAACAATAGGTACCTCGGCTCCAACGGCTTGATTACCAGAGCTAGTCTGTAGTCATGAGACAAGATTCTAAGAAAACAAACAAAAATCATTCTCCCTACAGCCTCCCCCCGCCCCACAACATTGACTGCGTTTCACAGTAGAAAACATTTCTTCTCCTTGTCAACTTCGTTAGTCTTTGTGCTCTGGGTCTGAATTATTTAAGAAGAGTTTATTGAGTACCTACTGTGTACTGGATACATCAGCCCCCCCCCCCCCCCCCCACGTCGGGCTGCCAGTTTCAACGAGGTTCCAGGCTGTCTGGCATCATGGGCTGAGTTTTTCCTTTCTCTCTCTGACTTCTCTCTTCCAGTTATCTTCTGCCTCCTGAACTTTTCGGCTCTGCTTCCCTGGAACCGCTTCCTTTGTCCTCAAGAGCAATTCTGTTCAGATCAGTTCATCCATTCCTTTGGAATAGTCTCCACCCACCAGAAACTGGCAGACAGGCAGAGAGAGACAGGAGAGTGACCTGGAGTTGGATGTGCAGTATGACCCAGATACAGGGAGGAGGCTAGAGAATCCAAAGAAAGAGGAGCCCACACATACCCTATGGAAAAGAGTGTGGAGTGGGGGGAACCGCTTGCTCTATTCCCAGGGAAACATAAACTGTGGTTCTGACTAGGATATATGGTATCAGAGCAGAGGGCAAGGCTGGAAAGCCACCGTGGCATAGAAGATACCGCGGCAAGCCTCTGAACTCTATCTTGGTAAATAGGGAGTAACTGTAGGCTCTAGGCAGAGAAGTAGTTTTATCAAAGTCGCTGCTCTTGAAGGATTATTCAGGTTTCTGGAAACCAACAATCACCACAGCAAGCTTCTATTTATTCTGCCTGCAGAGTGACTTCAAATTTCCTTGGCTCAGCTCACAGCACCAGTCTTACATGCAGGCTCTCTTTGTTGCTATTTAACAGTTGAGGAAACAGCGTGGCTCAGAGAGACTAATACATGTATTCCTTTGGGTTGTACAGCTAAACTATGGCAGGTAGGGATTTCTAGTCCATGTTTGCCTGTCTCTATTTTGTTCTTTTCATCTCCGTATCCGTAACCACCTCTCTCATCCAAGACCCACTCCCCAGCTCTGGGCAACTTAGATAGAAAAATATGCTGAGTTCAGGGGCACCAGGTCAGAGGAACTTGGGGGACTGCAAAATGCTGAGAAGCCGCTGTAAGCGGGGAAGCAAACACTGCCATTTCTCCTGCTGCTGCCCTCAAACTGAAAGTTTTAACTAATTTGATTCCTATTCTTCTCTGCCTTGCCTCCCGCCACTGCCACTACTACCCCAGGATGGACCACAGTGACTCCCCGTGGCTGGCAGACACCTGGCGTTCCACCTCTGGCTCCCGAGACCTCAGCAGCAGCAGCAGCCTCAGCAGTCGGCTGGGAGTGGACCCTCGGGACCCACTGGATGGCAGGCGCTCCTGTGATTATGCCTGCTGAGAAGGGACCTCGGGGATGGAGGGGGGAACAGAGAGCATTGTGCTCACCATAACCCCTTTTGTGTCGTTTATGGCAGTGATCTCCTGGGACCCCCGGAGCCCTGGTGTGCCCCTGCTTCCCGACACCAGCACTTTTTACGGCTCCCTCATCGCGGAGCAACCCTCCAGCCCTCCAGTAAGGCCAAGCCCCCAGACACCAGCTGCTAGGCGCCTTCCATCCAAGCTGGCCGGAACCTCCAGCCCTTGGGCCAGCTCAGATAGTCTCTGCAGCCGCAGGGGACTCTATTCCCCGCGCATGTCTCTGGCCCCTGCAGAGGTTTGGAAAGCCAAAAAGAAGCAAGGTAAGGGTGGTGAGAGAAGCCATGTTCTGGGACAGATGGGGGTGGGATTAAGGAGAGGTCTGCAGGCCTTAAGCTGAGTGTGGGCTGAGCACCATCCCCAGCCTTCCGTTATCTCCCAGTGGACGCAAACCTCTAACTCCACCCACGGAGTACTCAGCTGGGTGTACCCTCACCACAGCGTTTCTCTACAGCAGTGGGCCTTGGCTCTGCAGTCAAGTTGACTTAGAGAACATTTAACAAGTGCCATTGCATGCAAGGTGTGGTATGATACAAGACACATTAGGCACACAGGTTTCCTTCTTAGGAACTCTATCTGTGCTGACCAACAAACTGGAGCCTGACCTAAGGTCACCAGAGCTGGGAAAAGCCTCAGGTTTTCCAGAACGTGTGCCTCACACGTTATACACTGATCTGCTTGGACCCTGACTCTCACTTAGCTTCTTTAGGAGCAGAGTGTATATCCACAGATTCTGTACTCGCAAACTGTCCAAGGATGAAAACATCCTTCGAGGGATGTTGGACCCAGTCCACTGTAATAAGAAGAGATACCTATGATAATTTTGGAACGGATTTAACTCTTTACTCCCAGCTGCCTGTTTTGACGTTCCATAAGGGGACAATAGCAATCTCCACTTCTCAAACGACTACCTTGCACTAGCTGCTTTCCTTATCCATTGTCATTTTTGCTCCTTGAGGTGGACGTTGTTTCTCTAAATTTACAGAGAGGAAAAGATTGACAGAATATTAGGTAACTTGCTCCAAATCCCCAAATAAGCTGCAGAGCTCAACTTTGAAGCCAGGGGGATCTGTCTCTCAAGGCTACCAACTTCTCTGGTTATCACTTAGAAAGGTCCCTGCTTTGGAGACTGTTTTCCCAGGCGCCACCCTGCAGAGCATGGCACAGCACTCCGCCTGCCATTGTATGGACTCTCTGAACCGCTCGGAGAGACTTGGCAGATGCTGTTTTCAAGCAGATCAAACCCAACTTCAGTAAAAAGACAAGGGTGGATTAAGAGTAATTACTACAGACCATTTTCTGTGACTGTAAATATTAATAAGCCGCCCTTCTTTCCCATTTTGCTCGGGGCTATTGCATTATCAGTCTTGAGTGGTACTAAAATGCTAGCTAGAAAGAGATGGGGTCATAAGCTTAGCAGTGAAGCCATCAGTCGGCAGGCACTGGGCCCTGGATTAAAACCAAGCAAACAAACAAACAAAAAATTTCTGTGCAGAGAGCCACAATGACTTCAGGGAAATGTATGCTCTCTCTTGGAACATTAACAGTTCTAGAAAACTATTTTCTACAGCCATTTATTTCTCTCCTCCCTTCCTCTCTCCTTCTCTCTCTCTCTCCTTCCTTCCTTTTTCCCCTTTGATGCTAAAGTTTGAACCCAGGGCTTCACACATGCTAAGCCCGTGCCCTACTTTGAGCTACATCCTCATTTTTACGGCCATTTCATCTGAAGCATCCAGTTCTGCCATGGGGCTTCCTAGTCTGAGGATGAGGTTTTCACTTGGCGCTCTCTCACCTTGTCTCCATCTCCCTCTGCCCCAGTCAAGAAACAGTCAAGTATTTCAGAATGAGGCAATGTGAGAAGTGAACACTGTCAACAGATTCTCTCTAAGAGGAGGGGTGTTTGTGTTCACCGGGCAGAGACTGATGAGGAGAGGAGTAGTGTGGGGGAACAGAGATCAGAAAAATTGGAATACACACAGTCCGAGAAAAGAGAGCTGGATTTGGAAGCCTCTGTCTAGAGCCAAGGGCTTTACTTCCTTCAAAGTGGTTGCTTACAAATGAACTTGACATTCAGAAAGCTTGATGCATTTCACTGAGGTCACCCAGCCAAACACTCAGTGCTCTTCCAGCTTAGTAGGCTGGAGAAAGATGGGGGCAGAGAGAAGTAGTTTTCGATTTAAGGTCCCAAGGACTGGGTGAATACTCAGGCTAAAGACAGGGCCTGTGGTTGGGGTCTGAAAAGCTTACTCTCATTGTTCATAACCTTCATCTTTCCCTTGTAGAGCTGCACCAAGCCAACAGCTCCCCACTGCTCCGAGGTGGCCACCCCATGGAAATCTGGGCCTGGGAGTTGGGAAGCAAAGTCTCCAAGAATCTTTCGCAGAGCCCAGGTGAGAGGGGATCCATAAGGGAGAAGTGAGGGTTAAGGCAGGATTTCAGGCCCACCAGTCCAGCCCTTTTGGGCTCTGCTGTGGCGTGTGTGTATGTGTGTGTGTAGTGTGCATGTGTGATGTGTGTGTGCACATGTGATGTGTGTGTGTGTGTGTGTGTGTGTGTGTGTGTGTGTGTATAGCTAAGTGGGATGGGTAGTACATTCATGTGAGGGGTGAGGCAGGTTTTCAGGCCCACCAGTCCAGCCCATTTGGGTTCTGCTGTGGCGTGTGTGTGTGTGTGTAGTGTGCATGTGTGATGTGTGTGTGTGCACATGTGGTGTGGGTGTGTGTGTGTAGCTAAGTGGAATGGGTAGTACATTTCTGTGAGAGGTAAGGCGGGTTTTCAGGCCCACCAGTCCAGTCTCTTTTGATTCTGCTGGAGAGAGAGAGACAGACAGACAGACATAGAGTATATGTGTGTACGTGTGCGTGTGTGGTGTGTGGTATGGGTGTGGTGTGGGTGTGTAGTGTATGTGTTGTGTGTGTGTGGTATGTGTGCGGTGTGTGTAAGTATTGTATGTGTGTAGTGTGTGTGTGGTGTGTGGTATGTGTAAGTGTGGTATGTGTGTGGTGTGGTGTGTGTGTGTTGTGTGTGTGTGTGTGTGTGTGTGTGGTGTGTGTATGTGTGGTACGTGCATGTGTGTGTGCATATGCTGGTGTGTAACTAAGTGGGCTGGGCAGTAATCCAGGTCTGAGCAGGTTGGATCTGGACTTCATGAGATTTTGGAGATTCTTTTGTTCTCAGGCCCAAAGTCTTGTTCCCCAGGAGAAGTCCCCCGAACCGTGGTGACCTGGCGTGCCCCAGGATCACAACTTCAACGCAACTCGAGTGAGCTAGCAACTCGTCCACTCCCTCCGACACCCCTTTCTCCTTGCGGAACACCCAGTCCCGATCCACAGACCCAGTAAGAAGCATGGGTCAGGAAACAGAGTTGGGACATTGAGGGTGTGGGGCGTGTGCTAAGAGATGTGGACCTGAAGAATGACATTAGCTAATCTGCCACCTCTCTCTCGTCCCTTAACCAGGTGTGTGGAGAAGCCCCAAGTGCCCTCCTCTGATCCGCGGCCAGCAGCCCCTCTCTCCATCCTTAACTCTTCCAGGCCTGCCAGTCCCCAGGTCTCTTTCCTCTCTTGTCCCAGCCCAGCTTCCAGCAACCTGTCCAGCTCCTCACTGTCATCCTTAGAGGAGGAGGATCAGGACAGTGTACTCACCCCTGAGGAGGTGGCCCTGTGCCTGGAGCTCAGTGATGGGGAGGAGACACCCAGGTGAGTATCCCGGGGGAATGGAAACACCCCAGCTAAGCGTACTGGGGAGCACACAAACCTGCCTCAATAGCCCTGTTCCTGTTGCTGCGCCTTAACCAGTGTGTTGTCTCTCATTTCCATCTTATAGGAACAGTGTATCGCCTATGCCAAGAGCTCCTTCGCCCCCAACCACCTATGGCTATATCAGTATCCCAACATCCCCAGGACTGGCAGACATGGGCAGAGCCAGTGGGGGGGTAGGGTCTGAGGTTGGGAACTTATTGTGCCCACCTCGGCCCTGCCCCACCCCTACCCCCAGCGAGGGCTCCCTGGCCAATGGTTGGGGCTCAGCTTCTGAGGACAATGCTCCCAGCGCGAGGGCCAGCTTGGTCAGCTCTTCCGATGGCTCCTTCCTTGCAGACGCTCACTTTGCCCGTGCCCTGGCAGTGGCTGTGGATAGCTTTGGTTTGGGTCTGGAGCCCAGGGAAACTGACTGTGTCTTCACAGGTATGTGGGGCCACCTGCCTCTCTTAGAGTGAACGCAGCTTCCTTTCTCCCTAACGAAGAGTCCAGCCTAGCCCGCATTGTCCTCACTGTTACTTGAACAATTTGTATTGTCAGGCAGTGGTGGCACTAATTCCAGCCTTGGGTGGCAGAGGCGAGCAGATCTCTGTGAGTTTGAGGCCAGCCTGGTCTACAGAGCGAGTGCCAGGACAGGCTCCCAAGCTACACAGAGAAATCCTGTCTCAAAAGACCAAAACAAACAAACAAAAGAGCCTATTAGTGCTACTGGGGTGTGGTAGCATATGCCTGAAATCTCAGCATTTGGGAAGCTGACACAGGAAAATTATGAATTCCATGCCAGTCTGAGCTACATAGTAAGATTTTATCTCAAAGAGGAGGAAAGGCAGTTTTTCCTGAATGATTAATATGTCCTAGGTACTGGAGGAAATGCTTCCTATGCATTAGTAAGAACTCCAGGAGAAACATTCTCTACCTTTCTCTTCCAGATCAGGAAACATTAGGTCAGACAGATACTTGAACTTGCTCAAGACACCCCACAGATCAAGGACAGGACAAATGGTCCAATTCAGTGGGGTGGCCCAACCCCTTCACCTCCAGGACCATTCTATTCCCCAGATGTGGGTCCCAGTAAGAGCTGCTCCACAGCCGGACTTCTCTCAACTGGCATTTTATATGCCTCCTCGCCCCAGCTGTGCTTCCAAATCTCGTGATTGCCTGTTCATGGCTAAGGTTGAGCAACACCTGGCCTCACTCTCTCTCCATGTGAGCAGGAAGTGATTTCACACACACACACACACACACACACACACACACACACACACACACAAGATCCTGCATGCCTATCTTACCCTTACTCCACCTTTTGGCCTTAAGAAAATCAACGAGGCTCACAGGAAATGATGACAGGGCAAAAGTTATCCAGGTCAGAAGTGGCCGTCACACAGGGAAGAGGCCACCCAAGACTAGCAAAGGAAGTGTCCAGAAATGGTCGGGGAGGAAGCACGTCAAGCTGCTCTGTAGAGAAACACCTGTGTCAGGCCCGGGGGGCTGCAGCTGCTGGGACGGATGGACTGAGAGGCCAGGTTACATTTAGGAGTAGTGGCGTAGGTGTACCCTAAACCAGCCCTACACTTTCTGCTATAAATGGGGTCCTTAGGAGCTAGAGGTGGAACCTTCCGCTGACCATCTGCCTCCCTTATTAGATGTTTCTTCACCACCCTCCCCTCGGGATGACCTCTGCCTGACCCGAAGTTTCTCTCTGCCTCTGTGGGAGTGGAGGCCAGACTGGCTGGAGGATGCTGAGATCAGCAACACCCAGAGGCTGGGGAGGGGGCTGCCTCCCTGGCCTCCTGACTTTAGGGTCCCTTCCCAGCGAAGTCAGCTCAGTGGTGCTGTACGCAAGACTGGTGGTAAGCATCTGGCTGGCTGGCTGACATGTGACCCTGGTTGAGAAACTCTGCAGAAGAGTCAAAAGGGAGCCTAGGATCTAGTCTTAATTCTATTCTCCTTCAACTTCCAGATTCCTCCTGAATTGTCCCTGAGATAGCCAGAAGAGCGTCCAGACCACTCTCCTGTCTGTTCCCAGGTCTTCCCACGGGTGTCAGCGTTGGCCTATGCTTCTCTGTAGTAGAGGTTCATTATCACTGGGCTTCTAGAGAGTTCTGTCACTGGGACTGTTAAAACAAAAGAAAGCAAACCAAACTACGACCTCAGGAGACTTGAATTCCCACTGAGAACAAGACAACATCATCATGACATCAGATTCTCTCCTCACAACCAGGGTATTTGCCCTAAGTGAGCCTGACTCTTGATCTCCTGTCCATGTTGATCACAGGAAGAAAAGAAGCCAACAGTGTCTTCATGAAGGACAGAAATGGCTGTTGGAGAGGGCTATGGTGGAGGACACTTAGAAGCCTTCTCATCTCTACCTGGACTATGCACTTAGAGGCCAACTCAGTCCTTTTCCCAGCCACACCAGGCAAGGAAAGTAAAGGAGGAAGGTCATGGGTACAGTGGGTCCTATCTAGAATCACAGTCAACACTTCAAACTTGCATTAATGGAGCAGACTGAAGGAAAAGAACCAGAAGAACTTGGAACCAAAGCACTATCCTCATGCCATTGTCACTGTGAGCTTCAAGAACTTGATACTATAAAAACTATAGACTTGAGTTCTATGGTGCCACTCCTTGGGTTCTATTTTGGGAAGGGTACCTGCAGAGATGTAAGAGTTATCTGACCACAGAGAGAATCAAGTATTCATTGCTACTCAGGGAATGTCCTCATTTCTGGTCTTCAATTGAAGGGCAATAAGGTATATCCAACAAGTTAAGCAGAATGGAGTTGAGAAGAATGGGGGTGCCTAAGGGTCTGTGTGTCTTGGGGAGCCAACTCCTGTTTCCTGCAGTCCCAGCCCTGCTCCCTAAAGTCCAGTTCCAGATGGTGTCTTAAAAATAGACAAGCAGGGGGGCTGGAGAAATGGTTCAGTGGTTAAGAGCACTGCCTGCTCTTCCAAAGGTCCTGAGTTCAATTCCCGGCAACCACATGGTGGCTCACAACCATCTGTAATGAGGTCTGGTGCCCTCTTCTGGCCTGCAGGCATACACACAGACAGAATATTGTATACTAAATAAATAAATATTTTTTAAAAAATAGACAAGCAGCTGAATCCCACAAAAGGTATAATCACCCGGGATGCTTGGCTAGGGAGCACTGTTTAGACAAAACAACAGGCCAGAGATGAACCGTGGTGGAGGACCTCTGAGTCCTGAATCATTGAAAGCCACTAGAGGGCAGGCTACCCATGTTTGTGTGTGTGTGTGTGTGTGTGTGTGTGTGTGTGTGTGTGTGTGTGT